CCCAAACCCTAAACTCAACCTCTAAACCCTAAACCCTAAACCCTACCCTAAACCCTAAACCCTAAACCCTAAACCCTAAACCCTAAACCCTAACTGACTTGCGCTCAGCTTTCTGGAATCTGCCATTGATCTCCTCGAAACTCAACTTGCCGCTGCCATCTTTATCCTGAGTCTCGATTTTCCTGTGGCTCCAATAACCCACAGTTTAGGGTTTTAGGGTTTAGGGTTCCTGTGGCTCCAATAACCTACAGTTTAGTAGTAAGTACCCCTTAATTAGTAGGTATAACCCATAAAGCTGTAGGTTATTGGGGTTACAGGTTAGGCTTATGCTCAGCGCTTAGGGCTTATAGTGGTTGTAAAAGAGTCTGTAGCGATATGTGAGGGGGTTAGAGCGTATTTATAGGGATTCAGGTGAAGAATACGGATATATGGGGTTTAGGGTTTATAGGGGCGTACGCACGGCCACTCCGAACTGATTGCGAAAATACAATCGAGTGTACTCGAGTAAACAAGCCCGAAATTCTGCCGTCTCCACATACAATATCCCAAATTCCACACAAAGTCTTTGATTCATGACGCCGTCGCATCCCCTCACGCCCTCTAAACCCAACACTACATCATCTTGAACCCTTGACCATATGGTAGTTTCCCCTAATAGGGGGACCCCAATATACTATTTTTCTTATTATGGGGACGCCAAAAAGGGCACCCCTAATTTTGTGAAACCCTGAACCCTAACCCCCTATATATATATCCGTATAAATCCTTGCATACCCTATATATCCCCTATATAACCCCTTTAAAGGGACCCCTAACTTTGGGAAACTCCCATATGTCTCAGGCGTCGAGGGAGTCGAAAAGCTTGTCTATCTGATCCAGCATCTCGGCGCCTACCTCGGCATACGGGGGCCGCAATGTAGGGCTTTGGGTGGTTAGTTAAGGTTTAGGGTTTAGGGTGGTCCCCCCTGAGTAGAGTGCATTATTGGGGCTACATAAGGATAACGGAAAATGGTACGTATTATTCCAGGGTATATATCGGGGCTATAGTATCTACTTCAGGGAGACTATAGGGCTTAGGGTGGGGAGAGTGTGTGGTTTGGGGCCTCTTGCAAACATTGCTACCTGGCTTGTATTGGGATTGTACAAGGTTTCAAGGTAAATAAAATTGTTGAACCTACCCCTGAGATGTGGATATGCAGGTTCGATAACGATACGCTGGGGGTTGAGGCTAATTATAGTGGTTACATATACGGTTTAGTGACTCAGTGTTGAGCCCAGGGACATAAACAATGAGAAAATGGCGAATATTAGCGAAACAACTCGCAAAAACAAGAACATGCAAGATGGAATATAAGCTAGTTTTGTTTTGCCCCGTTATCTGGAACTCATTTATGTTTTTTATATATAGACTCATTGTGCACTCCTGAAAAGGGGACCATGCTTAGGATCCCTGGGCCGCCATTTGCGTACACTCCCATTTTAATCGCTTCTCCTAAAATTAAACCCCGCCTAAAATGAAATACGGGTTCGCCAGACGTCCAAACTTTGAAGTCTGCCTCCAAAATTCTGTTAAAGGGCCAAGATTAAATTCAATTGCGGCTCGGATCTTCTGAGGCAAGAGGTTTTTTGCACGACTCTGAAGGATTAGGGATCTCCTTGATTTCCTAGATTTTTTTCGAATGGTTAGTATACAACAATGTATATAGAAGAACTCCAGAAACAGATTTCCAGGCGCTAATATGGAATAGTCCCTAATAAGGCCCTACATTGAAATAGTCCACGATCAGGCCCTGATACAACCCCAACTTGGAATAGTCCCTAGTAAGGCCCTGATTTGAAATAATCCCTAATAAGACCACAATTTGGAATACGTAGTCCCTACCAAAGCCTGATTTGAAGTTATCTTTAATAACAGGCCTTATTTGAAATAGTCCCCGCAAGGCTCTGTCTGAAATAGGTCCGAAAAGTCTGTAATTTCAAGTAACCACTAAGAGGCTTCACTTGAAATAATCCCTTATGAAGGTTAATCGAATTCTATACGATTTAGTCAGATTTAAATAGGACCCCATTATATACCCCCCCTAATGTTCGGGTCGTACGATAAATCAAATACACCCCCCTAATGGTAAACACGGTTCGGAGTATTTACATTAGAGGGGAGCCCTTTAATATTGGGGGGGGGGAAGGATTAACTTGCAAAAACATTCAGGGAAATAGTCACCCTAAACCCACGCTGATGAAAGTTCGGGCTTCTGCGTCTGATGGATATCATGAGGACGTTGATGAAAAAAGGACTCATCGGTTATGAGATAAGGGAACTACTGCAACTGCAATGTATCACTAGCACTATTTATTGATACGAGCATTACTACTATGATTCATACTATGATTACCACGACTACTGCATTGATTGAAGAGCAATGACTCTCAGTTTCCTGTGGTCTGGAAACTGATATACAGCTCGTAACATGCACGGGGTGGCGCTCGATATTTTCAAGTGGGATCTTGCTTCTTGCGATTCTCCGTACTTCTAGAGTGAACTAGTGTGCAAGATACGAGTTGAAGAGGCACAAGGGGCGTTTCGGATTCGGGCCGGGAAATCGCTGAGCATACGGTACGAGCACCTCTGCAGGCTTCAGCGCTGCGCAGGTCGGCTTCATGGCTGTCGGAGCTTGCCATTCTTCCTGCCAAGACTTGCTATTTAGGACACGCCTGCATCACGCACCTAGTTGCTCCTGTATCGAACAGCATCTGGCCTGTCCTGCAGAGCAAAGCAGCCATGGCATGACCCGGGACACACAACAAATGGCAGCTTTCAGTCAGTGGAATCTTTCCTCCGGAAATGCTGCCATGGGCATCCGGAGTCTGAAGCACCACCTTGGGGATGAGGCCACCTGGCATTTTTCGCGTCAAAGCTTCAGGCCAAAAAGGATGAGCCTTGCTTAGTCCTTGGTCCCGCAAAGCTTTGTAGCAGTCCACTATTGCATGAGCAAAAACATGGAACACAGTGTTGCGGCTGCTCCTGGCTACGCTGCAAGTCATGAAAGTACATCAAAGCACAACAACACCTCCAGAAATGCCCTCTCCTCTGGCGCACTAGAGTCTGCTAACAGGTCAGTGCCTCCTTCGCACGCAAATTCCGCAGCCTAAGAGGCATTGAGCGGCCGTATGACTTCTAGAAATTGCCCATGCTGAGCCGAGCCGCAGAGCCAGGAGCACAGCTCCCGCGCGACGTCCGGCTTCCAGGTCCAGACTTGGACCGCGCCATGGAGGCGGGTGACATGGATGCAGGTGACGATGTCTGCACGCTCCATACATCGCCCACACGAAAATCTAAGCTGAGGGGCAAGCACCTCGGGCCTGACTAATGAGTCGAGGACAAAGGCCGGCAGCGCCATATTGTTTAGGGCTGTTGCGGCAGGCTCTGCTGATCGCCATGGCCTTCCGCTCTCAGCTTCTTTTGGGGTACCGGAAAATGGCTCGGAAAATCGCTTCCATGTCTTCTTGCATGCTTGCATGCTGGGGAATGGTCAGACGCTACATGTCGTTACCAGCCTTGCCTGTGTCCCAGCCCAGCATGCGCCCTAGAACATGTCCGTTTGCCCATTTGCACCCTGAGTAAGTGCGCAACTATCGTACGTACCGACGCTATAACTGTAACTGTTGCATCCAACACATGGGGATCGCAAGATGCGAAAATTTCCCACCCAATACTTCCTGTGATGTGTCCATTTAACGGCGTGCGTTGGCTGCTCTAACCTGGGTCTACAAGAGCTGAAAATAGCCCTACATCCTAAAGCGGCACGATTGATGCCATTCCAGGTTGGAGTCTTCAAGTAGATGTACGGGAATCGCAGGACGCCACGTTTCGCAGCTGATGTATCGAACCGCCCTTTCGATTGGCGAAATAAGTCGAAAGGGCAACGCAAACGTCCCCTGCTGTGCATGCCGAAGCGTGTAGAGTGTAGATGGCATCTGGAGCGGCCACATGTTCATGCAGGGTGTACGGGAATCGCGAGATGAGCGGCTTCCCGGCCCGAATCCGAATCGCCGCTTGTGCCTCTTCAAGCCTCCAAGCCGTAACTTGCCTACCAATGCATTGAACAAGTACGGGGAATCGCAGGATGCAAGATCCGTCTAGACAAATGGTGAGCACCACCCCGTACATTTTACATGCTGCGTGTTAAGCCTGGAGGCCCAGAAAACTTGACTATCAGAACTCGCAACCGCAGGTCTCAAAACCATGGCTACGGTCATAGAGCGTGCACGTGAACAGAAGTTAAAGGAGAAGGAGAAGCCCAACAACCCTCAACCCTCAATCATAAAAAATCAACAATGCTACTAGTAATAGCTATATACTGTCAGTAATAATATTGGCAAGTAGAAGTTAATCATTAGCCGTGACTAATCGAAATTGCACTAGCAATGGTACTGATAAGAACAGTCCTGTCGTGCTAGTATTGCACACACCCTCCCCAAACCAATGCTAAACATGCCCCCCAGTAGGTAAGGTCCCTTAGGGAATGTTTCATGTAAGGGGGTGTCAGGGCGCTTAATATTAGCATGAAGAGATTACTTGCCCATGCCGACCTTGCCCTCTCTGATGAGAACATAGCGCATGAACTCGATGCGAGAGATGACGCCAGTACCATCCTCGTCACAGCAATGGGCTATGGGAGTCATGCCGTCCACCCCCCACTAAACAAACATGGAACCATCTTCAAAAAGGATAGTATCCTTAGGTTGGGGAGGGTTCGCTTCATGACCCTGAACCTAGGACTAGGAGTCATGGGAACCGTTTCAAAGTAAAAAACTGAAAAACAAGCAGCTGAAAGGATCTCGATCTTTTTTTGGAACACCGTGCTTAGGGGTTGGCTATACGGGCTTCCATGCTTATTTGGAGAAGGGTGCTCCTGTTTGCCAGTTGAGCATTTGTCAACAATTCAGGACCTGTAAACGACAAAATCCTAGAGCCGTACTCATATCAACCCAGAAGCCGAGATTAAGAGTTTAAGGCTTTCTAAATTAGGTTCAGGGCATCGGCACAGATACCCTAATGCAAGCCTCAAAAGGCAAAGGAACCACCGTTTCAGTTCATCCCAAACCTTCTAAGCCCTGAGCCCAGAGGCCCCTGCTTCCTACGTATGGAAGAGGAAGCCAGCGCAAGCCCTCAACAAACATCGAGCCACCGATTGGTACTGGGGTTCAAAGAGTTTGTCCAGTGAGCCCTAAACCCTAAACTCCATGTTAGCTATAGTCTAAACTCCTAGTATCCCCCTTAATATCCCCTAGAGTAGTCCCCTATATAATCCCCCTTTAAGGAGTTTAGACTGTAGCTCATGTTAGGAGACCTCGGGAAGCATCAGAACCCTTACGGAGGCCTGCGCGAGTTGGGTTTTCCCTTTTTTGGGGCCCGCCTAAATGTTCCTTCAGTTCAGGGCGACGACAGAAAAAGCATTATGATCTCCTAGGAAGGTACCTACCACACAGATCCTACGGTTTGGTGGATACATGGGGAACCGTCAGTTTGAGAAATTCCCGAACCAGGTAATCTGCATCCAAAGTGCCCAAAAGCAAGCAAACGCCCCAGACTGTTACGTTGATCCTAGACCCTAGTCCGATGTCCGCATCAATGAACCCCGAACTTAACCCTAAACCCCAGCCCGATCTCCTCATCAATGATCTTGAACATGTCTCTCGTCACCTCAGGATTTCTGAACATGAGGGGTACCTTTTTGGAGGTCGCTACAACAAGGGCTGTAGTATATTGGGGTGCATAACGGGCGTTGCCCAACTACACTCCCCCAAACCAACATGGAACCCACCATAGCTCCTTTTTAAGGGCCTGCGGTCTTTACAGGGCTCTTTTTGGGTTTCCATGTTGGCTTACGGGAGTGTATTTACCTGGCGCATATTTCGGGAAACCTAAACCCCAGACCCTCAACAGTGAACCTTAAACCTCGGCCCTGAACCCTAAGCAGTAAACCTTTTCCCCCAGACCCTAAATCCTAAACCCTACATCCCGAAATCCGGCACCCTAAACCCTAGACCCCGAACCCTAAACCCGACAAATCCTGAACCCTATCCCCTACCTAGACCCTCCAATGTAGTCCCTTTTTGGGTTTGCTATGGTTTTGTGGTTAGGATTCTTACTAGGACTACTAAAAAGGTACTACATTGGAGGGCCTAGGTAGATCCTGAACCTCCCCTGCCAATACCACCTGGTGCTTCTTGAAAATGTCGGTTTTGGCGTCTCGCAGCACGCGGGACGTCGCGCCAACCTCAAGTGCTTATGGCAGGTGGTGCTTGGAGTAGCTCAATGGATAGGGCTTACAGTTTAGGATAGAACACAGAAGGGTAGCTCAAAGCTTAGGGTGGATGGCTTAGGGTGTGAGGTTTAGGTTATGTGTCTAGGGTTTGGGTAGCTCAAGGTTTAGGGTGTAGAATTGTGTTTTTTAAGCGCTCATTTTGCGCAGGGTGTAGGGGAAGCCTTATACCTGGCACCTTCAGGCTTAGGGTGTGGGGCCAGTGTGGGGTTTGGGGTACGGGGTTTAGGGCGGAATAAGGGGACTTTAGTTACCCAAACCCATGTAAACAAGGACTCTATGTCTATCGTATGATTATACTAAGGTTAAAATTTTGTTTTTAAGATTGGGGCAACTAGACCCCTTTGTTAACGCTGACTTGTAGTTCATTTTTAGGATTTGTGGTACGGCTTCTCCCTGCATTGCACACTGACAACCGGAACCTCAAGGTTCGCGCCTTTCGCATCTAGCCTTGTGAATTGCACGGGCGATGCCCTGCAAGAGCGTATTCCGAATTTCTCAGTCACTATCTGGGTGGTTGTCAAAATTATGGTTCCTTTTCGGTCCCTATTATAATACGGCACCCAGTATTTAGGGTACCCAAAAAGGGACAATAATTTTGACAACCATTTGAGTCGCGTTTTTTGGGTGGTTAAACCCTGTAAGATTCTATTCCCTATATAAAATACTATACCCCAAAAGGAGGCTATAATCTTACACTATATTGGGTACCATAATATCCCCAAATAAAATACAACTCATTTATACAAGCCCCAACATCATCAGAGGGGTGCGTCATTGTCTTCTCCATTCCTTCCTTCCCCTCTAAACCCTAACCCCCCTAAACCCTAAACCCAACTACTCACGGCCAGGACACCAAGTTGGCAAAGGCCAGCGTGCCCAGGATCATCCATGCCGAGCCTTTTCTAGGGATACTAGAGACATGGTATACCATAGGAGGACCTCCCACCCTGTAATAGTGGTATAGTAGGAATATACGGGTCCTTATTATCCACTATCGTAACTATTACAGACAGGGGGTCCGCCTAAGGTAATATTCATCCACAACACACCCCAAAGCCAACATGCCCCCTAAAGCAGGCCTTATACATGATATTGCTGCTCCTATTCCGATTACATTGGCCACTCCCTTGGCTCCCGCTCCCCCGAAGAGGCCCTGGGCTTTTTCGGTTGAAAGGCTACTGTACGGTTTGGGATTATTAGGTGCCTAAATAATCACAGTAAGATCCTGGGCACGTTAAGACTACAATACACGGGCTTTAAGGAGAGGATGTTGAAGACCAATCTGCGCTGCAGAGTTCCCCGGCCGAAAGTAGGATAGAATACACAAAGCGGGGGTAAAGTTGATCTACTTAACTACTTTTCTACTTTAAGGTTTAGGCCAGGCTTTAAGCTTACTAAGACCTTATTAATATTAAGCTACTACCCTAGACCCTAGACCCTAAACCCTAAATTCTGAGGTCCAGAGCTGCAAGCTTGTTTATCTAGGATCTTTAGCATCAGGGACCCTGCAAGCTCAGCATCCCCAAAAACTTAGGGGTTTAGGGTTTAGGGGTTTAGAGTTCCCCATGGATGCTTTGGGTTTGGGGTTTTAGGATTTAGGGTCTTGTTGAAAGTTTGTTAATTAATTTAGGGTGGTGGAAGGCGGAATCCTACCAAACAAAAACCACAAGTGACCCTATGAAGACTACCTATCATACCGTCTGCTCCAAAAGTCTGTTCCCGTCTTTCTACGGGAGAGAAGGGCTCTGGGAAGACTACATGCAAGGTGGCTAACTACTCTACGTATTGGAGGGGTCCCTCCTTGGCGTGGTCACGGGTCTATCTGATTCTAGCCGCCTCCGCTTGCACCATGAACTGCCTAGGGCTTACGTGCGCTTTGAGAATTTAGGCTTCGCTGCTTATACCTTCTGGCCTGACTCAGGCACGCAATCTCTGGGCGTAGGGTTTACTAAAAGGCTTGGCCACGGCAGACCTCAAGAGTGCCCTGGAATCCTCATTTGTGCATGGAGCACTTGAGGGTTTACAGGCTAAGGGTTTAGGATTTAGGGATCCCACCAGGCCTCTGGTAGAAGAAATCCCCGGGACGAACAACAACCCGAGCTCCCGCCAGGGACAAGCAAGATACAGTCGCAAGATGATGTGGTAGTTTCCCTAAATTACTGTTCCCAAAATGGGGGAAATTTATATAGGGCCCCGTATTATAAGAGGAACCCAAATATCGGACCCCGTATTGACAGTAATTTAGGACAATCCCCATGTAGGGAAGGCAACTCTGAATGAACCAACTGTTTGGAATAGTTTCCATGCTCCTTTCCTAACATGCGTTAGCTTCTTGGTATTCATGAAGTTTACGTCTAGTGAACAATCTACGGTGCTAATCGAACTTTGCTACTACACGGTTCCAGCTCCGAGGAAATGAAAAACATGGGAGCTACATATTATTGAGGATCCATAAACCCTAAACGATATTATTCAGGATTCTATAGGGACTACTATCAGGATCCAATTCCTTTGTTACTTGTCATTCCTTCCCAAACCACAGTTTGTGGGTACCTGATTAATCACTTCCCCCAAGTGTAGGAGGGTTTAGGGCCCCCACCTATAAAGTATAGGTTTTCCAGAATTCCAAATTCTGAAATCTGCCCCCCAAGACTACTTCGAAAAAAGGGCCAAGACTACAATTACTGACGGCTCGGATCTTTGGAGTTAGTGGGGATCCCGAGCACGTCTTTTCAGGATTAGGGATCTCCTTGATTTCCTGGATGTGGATGGTTTTTGAAAAAGAGTTTAAAGAAAATCTGACCCTAAACCCTAAACCCTCAACCAACTGGCTGGTTTTATTGCAGTTGTGAAACCTGCTTCTGTTAGATGTCAATTAGATTTCAGTTGGCTTCTGTCAGATTCTACTAAGATTTCGACTAGATTTTCATTAGATTCTAAAGAGATTTCAACTGGTTTGATTACAAACTAAGATTAATTGTAAATGGGTTTTGTTTAGATCATTTCACTTCTATGGGTCTCTCATTTAACCTTGGACTCGTAAGAACCAACTACCCGGGTCATAAGCGAATGGGCGAGGAGCGGAGGGTACTAAATCCTACATAACGCCAATTTATACCCTTTTGTAATATTGTAGGTTCCATTTCCTTTTCAGCTATGCATATATAATCCTATATCACCCCAATCTACCCAGCTGCCCTTGTCGTGCAACATGAAGACTCGGGGTGTTGGCCTTTGGGCAGGCTGGGCCAATGGCCAACGCACACAGCAAAACCGTAGTGCTTGCTACCTTTTCACTTCCACCTACCTGAAGCCTGAATTATAACTTAGGTGGACCCCCCACCCAATAATAGTGACTATAAGGGATAATAGGGGATCATATTAGGGTCCTCTTATACTCTCATTATACCACTATTACAGGGTGGCCTAAATTGTAACTCTCACCCCTCACCCGAAAATCCGCTCACCGTCATCCTAGAGTCAGTAGGATTAGCTTTAAACCCTCAAACCCAAGGCTCCATGTGCACCTAGAAGCCCAACGTTCGGCCCAAGTGTGTTGATGGCGTGAAGTCGCCAAAGCCAACCGTGGAGAACGTAATGACAGCCTCTTCTGAGTTCAGGGCTGGGGGCAACCTTCTGTGGGTTAATGTAGGCCCCTCACTAATACATCCCCTCCGTTCAAGAGCCTAAATATTAGGATCCCTATTACCATCCCCATGTTGGGGAGGGGGTTTATTACTCAGGGGTCTGCATTAGTGCAATGACTGCCTAGGAATGTGGGGGTAGTAGGAGGGCTAGAGATTGGACATACGGGGAGGTGGCAATTGCAGTCTACTAGAAGTTCCTTCAAAATCACCCACAAACTCTAAACCCTAAACCCTAAACCCTAAACCCTAAAGCCCTAAAGCCCTAAAACAATGCACCCAAAACCGCGACAGGATGGGAAACAGTTCAGCTATCTGGTGCTTCGCCCTTCGCATAGCCCGCAAATGGGGATTGTCAAAATTATGGTCCCATTTTGGGTCCCCTAAATTAATGTGACAATCCCCCAAATACTGCCCGTCAAGCCCTACAAGAATTCACGCATTCCCAAGCGCATGCACCATGAAAATGCTGATGCACTATGCGGGAAAAGGCTCACAGATCATGATTTGAAACTTACCTGAGACACAACCATGAAAGCTTCATGACCCAATGTTTGAGGCGAGCAGTGGGATAACAGAAGTGACAAAGTGTAGCACTTGCTGCACATAACCAAATTTCGCTTACTGCAGAACCAAAAAACTTGAGCTCTCTAACAGCCACAGTAAGTGCTTTGATCCTATCACGCCCCAATGACAAGTCCGGCCCGCTAAAGAAGTCAGCGCCCCACTTGCAAAACTCACCTGGGATCTGATCAAAAGCTATCAAGCACCCAAACATCGAATTCCCAACACCCTGCACCCTAGACACCAAACCCTAAACACTGGGCCCTAAACACTTAACCCTCCGCCAAACCCTATGTAGCCCTCTATAGCTCTATATAACCCTAAAGCTTACCTCACTATACCACTCGAGGAGCCATGTAGGTCGCATCAATTGCTGTCAGCTGCCTCCCGCCCGTGGCTTCGCAGTCGTCCTTTGTCTAGGGTTTAAGGTTTTGGAGCTTAGGGTTTGGGGTCTAGACACGCGCATCGCACAGCAGTGCCGGCACGGCAAAGACTGTCCACGTCCGGGCTCAGCACTCAGGCTTTAGGGGTTTAGGGGTCCTGCTGGAGCTTATCCCAACTCAGGGGCCCTAGGGAGCCTCTCAGTGAGTTCTATGCAGGGCTTAGGTTTAGGTTCGAGGGTTAGTCTGAAAAGATGTTGGGATCGTCATTGAATTGTAGACGCATTTTTGGGGAAGCAGGTCTCTTATTGGGCAGACGATGAAACCTCCAGCTGGGGAGCTATCCGGCGTGTACTTGTCTAGCGAGAGTCTATCCTGTTTCCTCATGACATAATGATTTCGGGTCACCTTCCATTTTCTTATTCAATTGATTCTACATTCCCCGATGTACATCTAAGCCCTACATGAACCCCAAAGCCAACGTGGTGAGTATCATGTTTAGATTGTGGTGTTCCCAGGACCCAGAAAGTTGGATGCTGGATCCGTGGTGCTTCGCCAAATGTAGGGCGGAAGCATTTGGGGTGTAGGGCTTGGGAAGGGCAAGTCGCACGTGCCCGGGTCAGAGCCCAACCTCTTGAACTTGCCGATGTTTGTAAGTGAGCCACCGATGAGCTCTACAGACTTTTATGTTCCGTTCCATGGTCTACAGACGGACTCCTGCTTGGTTCTCACGCAGTTTGTTGTCACAAGGGTTCCTAGTGACGTGGCATGTTTCAATAGGTTTACCCGAGCGGTTGCATCAGGATTCAGGGTGCTTCAAGAAATTTGGGCATAGGCAGGAGAAGCATCATCATTGCACACTCGGTCTCAGTCTTCATGGGCATGCAGGAATACAGCTAGCTCATTAATTCTAAAACCGAGAAATTCCCGTTCCATTGCGATCCAGCGTCATCCACGCAGCCAGGTAAGCGTTTGCCTCCGACAATGCAGGTACAGCGTTCCTCGCGCAATGCTGCCAGGCATGGTCTAAATGGTTATATAGAGGATATATAGAGGTTATAGAGGGAAAGTGGAAAAACATGGAATCTACTATTGAGAGTTTATGGATTAGGGCATAGGAGCATTTTGGTTCTTTTAGAAAAAAACTTCTCTCTCAAAGGTGGCCCTATAAGACGTAAACGTCTTTCTCCCAAGGGCTCCAGGCACCTAAATAATGGGTTCTGGGTTACATCTACCCTATGGTTACATCGCCCGGTTACCTAGGTAACTGGGAGCCATAGTAGTTTCCATTTTATCTTCCACTATAAGCCCAATACAACCCAATGTGATGTAACCCTAAGGTATCCTTTCTTTCAAGGTTTAAACCCTAAACCCTAAGGTATCCTTTCTTTCAAAGTTTATGGGTTTGCATTCCACCCATGGCCCCGTCCCCTCACCTCCTGGTCGGGAGCTTTGAGTTGGGATTGTGGGTTGAGGGTTGAGGATTGAAGGGTTTAGAATTTAGGGTTTAGGATTGAAGGTTTAGGGTTTAGGATTCAGGGTTTAGGGTATAAGGTTTAGGGGTTTTGCACGGTTCACTGCTTAACAACCTCACGTAACATCGGCCTCTGCTTTGTTCGAGGATCTTCAAGGCTAAGGTATGCGCATGGATGCGGGATAAGGAGGAGTTTCGCGGGTTGCGCTGCCAATATATAAGCTTCCATGCAGGTACCACGTAGGGTATTCTTCGGCCCTGAAGAACTCATGTAGGAACCTGTTTGTGCGTCAGGTATATACCATGTGGGTACCTGGACCCTTTCACGTGCCCTAAACCTTAAACCCTAAACCTGTGAACTCGAAATATTGGCCCAACATCCCCAGCATTCAGGGAAACAGCGCCTGTGCAAGCAGTATAAGGAAGCCAACTAGGGGAACTGAACTCATAAGTTTAGGGTTTAGGGCTTAGGAGACTAGAGCTAATATGAAGCACCCCCCCCGAGCGTTCAATTTGGCAAATTATGAGACTCAATTCCCCCATCAATGAATACATCATAGTGATTGGAGGCGGGGGGGTTAATCTTTACGCTTTGGGGAAGGGATGAGGACCATGGAAAGCCCAATCGGATAAAGGCTACTAACCCCAAATCCTGGATCCTAAACCCTAAGTCCCACACAGAAAAGCCCAAATCCTAACCTGGGATTGCCGAGGAGCATAGGTGGAAAAAAAGGCCACCCAAACCATCACGAAGACAATGTAGCTCAGAATGGCAACTATCAGGTCATGCCAGCGTTGGCGCCTTCGGGGTTTAGAGTTTGGGGGCTCAGGTACTACCAGGCGAACCTTCTCCTTTTGGACTCCGTAGGAGGGCACAAAGAAACAATCACTGCAGGGATATGGTAGTTTCCCAAAATAAGGCGACCCCAATATAGACCCCAATATATTATTATCCTTATTATGGGGACCCCCAAAATGGTACCCCTAATTTTGGGAAACTACCATATCTCTTCTGTATGCTGTGGTTTCAGAAGGTCTGGGGTGCAAGTTGGCGGGATGTATCGCTGCATTGATTCCTGTCATCCCTACAGAGGGTAGCATCATGCAATTTACTGAAAATCATGCGCATCCCCTAGGAAGTACCAGATTGTAACGCCAAGTATCATCATAACATCCTACTTGGAGGGCCAGGGTGACTTAATAAGTAGGTTAATAATGGGGATAACTATGGTTACTATATGGCTTATAGGGGTTACCAACCTACTTACTAAGTCCCCATGACCCTCCAAGTAGAGCCCAAACCCTAAAGTCCGAACCCCAAGGCACAAACTCTAAAGGCCAATATAGAGGGGCAAGGAGCCCCGTGTCTTGGCGTCAAAAAGAGCAACATTATTCTGGGTAGGGTTCATGGTTTGGGGTTTAGGGTTTAGGGTTTAAAGTTTAGGGTTTTGGGTTTAGGGTTCAGGGCTTCAGGTTTAGGTTTAAGGTAATCCCACTTCTACATGCCAGCTGCTACTCATGAGCTCAAGCCCTGCAACTTGTGGCAGGGAACCTGCAACAAGCACATACAGGTTGCAATTACTCGGAACCATCTTAAACAATGTTTTCAGGTTCAAGCTTATAAACCCTAAATCGTGAACTTAGGATGATCTACAGTAGCCGAGAACCTTGTTGCCAAGTTCCCTCGAAAGCCCAAGCCATCAAGCCATGGCAACTTCTTCGAGACCCTGCGAAACAACAGAAAAGGAAACATTCCAAAAATTGGTGGTGGGGTCTAGGGTTTAGGGTTTAGGGGGGGCCCCATAATAAGGACTAGCCTCTGGAATATATTGGGGTCTGTATGCGGCTCCCTCATTCATGGAAGCTACGACATCATTGGAGGCAATCCCGGTATCAAAATTCTGCCTCCTGGGTTCAACACGTAGGGGAAGGCAGTACCTGCTTTGGTCAAGCTAGCAGTCCAGAATCTCCAGGTATTGATACTTGGAGTCTTGGAGCAGGAAGGCCTCAAAATACGACAGCTGCTACCTAGAACATTTATCCCTTTTACTTGATCTACAAATCCAACCCTTCACCCTAAACCCTGTTGCTGAAACCGCCGCCATTGGTGTGCAAACCTTGGTAACGACAAGCCCCAGCACTCCTGCCGCTGGAGCCAATCATTCAACGGGATCTCAGATCTCCTCCCAAACTTTGGGGCGTGAAGCCCTGCATTTGGGGGTTTTGGGTTTGGGGTTCAGGGTTTAGGGGTTAGCTTTCAAGGTTTAGCATCTTGGCTTTGGGTCTTAGGTTCAGACTTCAGGGATTTCAACTTTGAAGGCCATTGGTCGCATCCAAAGACTGTGACTGTGCCCCGCGTCTTCACCAGCTGATGCTCAGTGGCTGCAAGTTTCATGGGCTTTCAGACAAAGAATTATTGCCCTAATCCTTAAACCCCTAAACCACGTGAAGCACAGATCCATGGGCATGCCCATTCCGTGTCTTTCTAGCTGGCTTTTTCTTCTAGCTGAAAATCTCATTCATCCGGCCAAAGCTACCCCAAAAAGCTCTTCTCAAAGGTTCCTTCTTCTCCAAAGTTTCGCAGCCCATACCTCTCCCAAGTGCAAGCCGCTGTGCTGCTCCAGAACCTCCCCTCCCCTCCCCCTCCCCCTCCCCCCTAAACCCTAAACCCTAAAACCCTAAAACCATAAACCCTAAACCCTAAAACTAAAACCCTACACCCTAAACCCTAAAACCCTAACACCCTAAACCCTTAAGGGTTTCCTCCTCCCGTCCCCTTGCCCCCTGCTCCTATCCATGACCTTGGCGCGGCTCAGCCACATCTCAACCTGAATTGCACCGTTCCCGTGTGATAACAGTAATAGTGATAACAGTAGTAGTAGTAGTAGTAGTGGTAGTGGTAGTAGTAGTTGTTGTTGTTGTTGTAGTAGTAGCAGCAGTAGTAGTAGTAGTGGTAGTAAGAAGAAGAAGAAGATAAATGATAGAATAATATCATTATAACAATAGTGATAGTTGTATTAATAATGATTTCTTAGGAGGACCCCCCACCCTGTAACTAATCGTGGTATAATAGCAATATAAGAGGACCCTAATATTATCCTTATTATCAATTATAGTCACTATTACTGGGTGGGGGGTCCACCTAACTAATTTCAATCATCTCTGGTCCCGTTTGAGTCTGCGAAAGCCTTCATAAACCTGTTTTGAGGCAACATTTTTGAAGAGGATTTAGGGGCTTTGAGGTCAAGGTTTAGGGGGTTTGGGGCCTTTGAGTTCAAGGTTTAGGGGATTTAGGTTTGCCAATCTTGGAGAAGGCAAAGGACATGAGAACACCCATCAAATTGAGGGTCCGATGAGCCATGGGACACCGTCAACCGTAAACCCTATGCTAGCCCCGCCCCTTGTGTTCAGTAGATCATATAAGACCTGGACTAAAGTTATGATATATTCCTTTAGGTCCCCTTTAAACCCCCTATACATCCCCCTTTAGGCGCACCCCAAGCTAACTTTACCCCGGAGCTCATATGGACCTTTAGCTCCTGAGCCTAGGTATCTGATTCTGAAACCTGATATATACGGGTTGCATAGGGTTGTATAGGTTGAAACAGGATGTATAGGGGCACGCGGGGATTTATACGGTGTAGGGTTTCCCGAAATTAGGGGTACCTGCTGGGGGTTCCTATAAAACCCCAGACCCTGACCGATAGGGTTTAATTAGGATTTGGGGTTTCACAATTTACTTACTGGGTCTTAGTATTTCTCTCTAAAATCCATACCTTCCCTGCTCAGAAACAGAACCCTAGACCCTAAACCCCATTGACTACTAGAACCAGTAAGCTTAGGGTTTTGGGCTTAGCGCATCGTGGCTTCGAGAAATCCCGAGGTGCAGCCGGGTGACGCTCTGAACCAAGCCCCTGAGCGTGGCTTGCTCCTTGGTAAACTTGACCTCAAGGGTTTAGGATTTAGGGTGTAGGATTTTGGGTTAGGATTCAGGGTTTAGGATTCAGGGTTTAGGGTTTAGAATTTAGGGTTTAGGATTGAGGGCTTCTTGTCTTAGGGCTTAGGGCTTAGAGCTTTTTGAAGTTTAGCGTTTGGCATTTGGAGCGTGGGGCTGAGAAGTCAGGGTTTCGGGATTCAAGTGCGGAAGTGGCTAGCAAAATGTAGAAATCTGCATGATTAGAGCAAGGCCTTGGGTTATGCCTAAATGTAAGAAAATGTGCAGGGACATGCAAAGTGGCAAAATTGCGTATAAAAAGTTCCCGACAAGCATCTAGGACTGGTGCCTCATACGATTTGCTTTAGGCGACCTGTCCTGCACTATCTGGAACCAGACAGAAAAACACGACACGCCTCAACCCGAAATGGGCGTCTCAGCATGTGCCCTCTTCCTGCTTAGAGGGTCAGGGGGAACTTAGTAAGGAGGTTAATTATGAGGATAACTGGAATTACTACATGGTTTATGAGGGTTCTGCATATATTTACTAGGCTCCCTGACCCCCCAAGTGCGCTGCGCATCTTGAACTGGAG